CCCCCTCCCCTCCCCCCCCCACCCTGCTACCCAGACTGGAGTGGCTTACTGCAGCCTCGGCCTCCAGCTAAAAGAAAAAAGTCTATACTTTTCTTTCTTTGAATCAGCCTTCCAAGTAGCTGGAACCACAGGTGAACCCCTGGGTTCAGGCAATCCTTTCACCTCTTCCTCCCAAAGTGCTGGGATTACTGGCATGAGCCACTGCACCCGCCCTAATTTTTTTGTGAGAGAGGTCTTGCCATGTCGCCCAAGCTGGTCTTGGATCTGTGGACTCAGGCAATCCTCTCACCACCTCCCCAAGTTCTGGGATTACAGGCGTGAGCCGCTGCTCCCAGTGTTACTATTCATTTGTGTATATGTGTCATGTGCTAAGTTTATCACTGGGAGACAGAAGAGGCAACACAACTATACATTTTGCTACCTTTCCTGTCTCTGTGAGAAGTGAATAACACATGATCAATGACCGATCACCAGATTTTGAAAGAGGTGACGTGATTTATCACTGGTCATTATGTACATGTTATTTAGTTAGTGATTGTGGACTGAAGAGCTAGTAGTGAAGTTTGTAGTTTATGCAGTTAATCACAACTTAATATACACGGTAACTGATATTTGAACCGTGTTGTTGGAGGACTGGTGTTATTTACCTAAACTGTTGTAATTGAAATTCAAGCTTCTCAGAAGCATGAAAAGTGAAAAACTGCCTGTTTTGGGATTATCTTTGATTCTTCAGAGACAATTGCTTATTTTGGCTTTTCTCTTTAAAGGTGCTGTTTCCCCTATATGCCTGGGAGTCTTTTGTTTCTTTTATTTATAACTAAATTAAAATTAAATTTTGCTTCTGGTAGCAGGTCTGGATTTTCCCTGTCCTTATATAGATACACCTGATTCTCATATATGCCTTTGTCCTGCATTCCAAGGATTTGCATGGGCTTCCCATTAGGGGACACCTGTGGGGAGCCCTCACAAAATGAAGAGTGACAATCTTCACACGTGAAATCTTAGCCCTTCCCAGGGATTATTCCATTTATAAGTGGGTACAGCCTCTTTACCCTTGGTGAGGCTGGGGCTTGTGGGGCAGGGTGACTGGCATAGCTGTTAAACCTTCAAACTCCTGCAATGTGCACCAGACTTGCCCCCCCCCC